ACCACACAACTGACTGATTAATGTAATTAGTTGCAATTCAGTCCCTCAGCTACTTTGGTAATACTTTTCAGTACCCAGGGTTTTGTAATGTGTTGTTGCTTCAAATTCAAGATGAGCTAGCATTTTCAATTACACAGAAATATTCTGTCTGATTTCTGTCCGATTTCTGTCCGATTTCTGTCCGACTTCTGTCCGATTTCAAAATGTTGGTCAAATAAAATATGTTCTTAAATAACATTTGCCACAGTCTTAACTTTGAAAATGTATTATTATTTTTCAATTAGGGTTGGAATTTTTTATATAACCTGTCGGGTATAGTAAATTTGAGATCAGATACCTCAGAATAGTAAACAATGTTTCTAAAATGATTTTCTAGCATTAAATAAACAGTACTGTCATAAGTATTAAGTGTGTGCTGAAGAAAACGAATCCTTCTTATTCTTATTTTCCTGCATGGGTTGAAAGAGTCTGACCATCTGTTCATCCGCTTCCAAATTTGAGAGGATATTTAAATATGAATCTGCCTTCAGTCCTGTCTGTATTTTTTGAAGGTTAAGTATATCAACTGTGCCAGCTTGGCTCATAATTGAAATTATAATTTGTGAGGCTACTGTTTTTTTATAGTTCACCTCTCTCTCTCTCTTTATCGATTCACCTATCTCCCCATTTATCTCACACAGACACACGCGTTGCAGTTTGTGACAGACGGAGAACGAAGATTAAATATTAAAGGAAGGATGTGGACTGTACATCTGTTTGTGGGTATATGTGCCTTAGTGGCAAAACTGAGCCAGGAAAACCAGAGGAGGGGATGCGGGGGACATAATAGCAGGGAGAGTCAGTGAAATGTAGCCATTTCAAGGACACTTACACTGAGGTTATATTTACAGATTGCAGCTCCATTTAGGTGATATGCACAGCAATAGGAATTGTACTTTAAATAAACTCTAGTCTCTTCTGGTATGCTTTTGATAGACTTTAAATCAGCTTAAAGGAACAGATTTTGATTGTTTTGTGTCTGTAAGACCCAACAAATGAGACTAACGCAAATGAAAACAAATATAATGCTCTTTTAAAAAAAAAAAAATTGACCCTGCTTTTGAAGTCATGCCCTGTCATTTTAGGATAACCGACCCATTCTTCTTCATATCCTCAAAGAGATTGCTTTTTCCTGGAGACTCTCTGTGGATGTTCGCGGCAACTGAAAGAAAGAGTTCCTTGCACAGTACATCTCTTCCACTTAATGTGACTCACCAGTTAACAGCTGGTGCAAGAAGAAATCTGAAGTCACGAAAACATATTGAGGGATTTGTTCTCATGAAGTGGCAGGAAGGAAACCATATAAACTTGCTGACACAATGAAAGCCTGTCTGCAATTAAAAAAAAAATAGACAAAAAACAAATATTCAAGTAAATGGTGGAAAGCTAATTAACTTGAGTGTGAGCATGAATTTATATGGAGTGTTTTAAGCACAGCAGAAACTAAAGTGAAGACACATTAGTGAAAAAACTGAATTGACAAAAGGAAGCTGACATAACCCTGTGTGCTTAAAGCTTCACTGACAATGTGTCATTCTGTGCGGAACAGTTTGAGGTTGTGAAAGAAAAGTGACCTTGAGACAACAGGAATCCTTCCGAAAAGAGGCGTTTTTAATCAAATCTATATGTTTTTGTATTAATAGCACTTTAGCATGTGCAAAGTCAGATATTTGCTCCGAAAAACAAAGCATGCCTGCGTGGCGACATGATAGTCTGTGTGATGCAGGCTGTTAATATTTTTAGTGAGCTCAAACTTGCTGTGGCTCTCCCTCAGTCTCTCTGGGCATGTGCAGAGAGGCACTGCAGTGCTGCACTCTGAAGGCACAGACAGACAGAGGGAGAAAGGAGTTTTGACAGTGGGGTGTTCATTTCCTGCAACATTCTCATCATAATATCATGCGTGCAAAAGCATTTAGTGGATAAAAAGACTACGTATTTACGTACAGGTCACTGCTTTAGCATTGCATGGTGATTTTTTATTTTTTATTTTCCATTTTCTAATTGCACAGCTTGCCAATATGCGGTTTTTAGATTATCTTTTGCTAAACAAATTAACCAAGTCTATTTGGTGACATGCAGGCTCTTAAATGGCCACATCCAGGGAAATCATTTCCACCCTTTATCAGTCCAACTTAGTTCTCTTTCGGCAGTGGCTCCTTAATCAAAAGAAACAAATCAAGTCTACTCGCAAACATTATTAGTCTTTCTACTGGCCCTGGTTTCTCCCCAATGGAAAACTCTGCCCACTTTCCCTTGTAATTGTTTTTCTGTCTGATTTAATTTGGGATCCATTTGCTCTCCCAATTGGGTAGATTCCTTCTCTGCAAAGAAATAAAAAAACAAATAAGAGTTTGCTTTAAGCAGGGAATAATGGTCTGAACGATCCATCAAGATCAAGAAGCAGCCGGCTCACATCAACAACTCCTCTTCGAATTAGTTTGAAACTGAAAACAGGAAATAAATAGTGAGGCCACAGAGTTAGTCCACCTGTTAGTCAATTCAGAGTTTCACAGGGTTGAGATGACTTGCATTTATCAGAGAAAATATATTATAAGTAATGGTACACAGCTTTTTACCATCAACTGGAAAGAAAGGTGGCAAACTGAACCACCCACTTGAAAGCAACATCAAAAAAGACAACTTGCAGGTGGAGTAAAGGCAATCTGTGCTGCTCTGTGGTGTTTTTTTAAACTGATAACATGGATAATGAGTCACAGATTATCATTTCATTTCTCTAAGGTAGAGATGAGAGTTAGTTTGTCTGCCCTGTAGCTTTGATGCAGGATCAGGCTGCACCATTAATTGGCTACTTGTGCCAGTGCAGGCTGGATTTTTCTCTGCCTCTCATGCTGCTGAGGCATCAAAACAGGTGGAACGTAAATGGCACAGTGTGTGCACCTCAGAGTCGTGACGCACCCTGGTATTTCTAAAAGCTGTCATCCATTTTGTGGGCAATGATGACGATAGTTGCAAAAAAAGGGGAGGTGGGGGTGAGATCTCTTGGCTAAAAGGGCCATCAAGTGGTTGGAAACTGAACTGCACCCCTCCAAGCCTTGCAGGAGCAGCAATCCAAGTCCTGTAATGAAGGCAACAGACCAGTAAAACACTGCTTTCCCCTGAACTGAAACGGTTACCCTTCAGCAGGCTTTTTGAAACTTGCCCAGGGTGTCATTTTCTGCTAAATGTCTTCAAGGAGAAATAGGGATCATTAGTAAAGTGAGTGGAAACATTCTATTACCCTCTCCTGAATGGATACTTTAGTTAAAGCACTGTCCATATTGTCCTGATTTAAAGTGAATTATATGTCAGTGAACAACTAGAGAGAGAAACAGCCACACTAGATGTAAGTGTAACCGATACCACAGTCTTATTGTTTCATGGGGATATCCTTTACAGACTCCTCAGTGCCCCTGCTATCCAATACTCAAATGGCGTATTGGATCCCTGAGAAACCAAAGAACCAAAGACTTCTGCGGGTGAACCCTGCTGGTGTTCTGATCAAACCTGCCGATCCAGGTCAAGGTAATTCCAAAATAAGGTCAGTAGTGCAGTCGTGTAAGATTTCTTATCCACACTGAGACCACTTAACCCAAAGGATGAGGTAGCAGGTAGGTTAGCGGAGCATGAAAGCTACAACTTGATTCCTGCTGATAGGTATGGTGCTTGATGCCTCATAATGACCTGTCCAGAAAAAACGAGGCCATTCAACCAAGCAGTTCTCGGATGAAGTCATCACTGAGCTGTACTTTCATTCACAAGCTGGTCAAAAAAATGAGTTAGATTTGGGAATTTAAAGAACAAATGCATGCTGTGCTATCAGGATTCAGGCTATAAATAGATCATTTTTGTCCAGTTGTGCTGTTTGTGTCTTTTCCCGTTTTCTTCAAAGCTCAGTTAATTCACAAACTTAGCTATTCTCTTTCAAAGTGCCACTTGGCTTTGTTTGTGATGACTTAGCTGATGAAAATCCTCGGTGGGCTGACACATTAAATTAAGGCAATGAATTACTTGGTGCTTCCAAGTCCTGTCTTCCAAATAATGACAAAAAGACATACAAAAGACAAGATATATCCACGAATAACAATAACCTCAGAAAAAATTGAGAGTTGACAAAATATTGGGTGTTCAGGTGGGACAACATTACTGATATTGGGGGCTGTATATGTTAATTGTTGTGTAAAATGTTGTAAATGACAACATATTTCTAAATAAAGACAATCGGTGCGACCCCCAAATGCAATAAGTGCATGAATTGATTAAAAAAAAAAGATAAAAATCAATAAGGCCTCGCCCCCAGGGTTTGTGGTCAATATGTGTACAGTAAACTGTCCATCAGTGGTTATGTAATCCTGCACTCATGCACATGAATGCCAGCTCTAATTTACTTCCGACCTGAGCTTTAACAAGTTTTACTCACTACTTTTATTTGTAAAAATTCAGAAATTCGAGATACATCTATTAGAGTTAATTAGCTCAAAAACCTGCAGATTCCGGTTTTCTCTCCAAGACATCTGCCTTCATCTCTATTTTATGCATATAATAGGACAAAAACGGTCCAGGTGTAATAGTTCTTAAAGTCGCGCGGCGGCAGCAAAGAATAAAACGCCAACGCGACGGGCGCGTGCTTATGCGCGTGTGCTGGTGGTCGTATTAATTCCCTTCCAATTAATTTTTCAACGCCACGTTAAGAATTGAGCGTGAAGCGGGGAGGTTTTTTCCGCACCTGCGAACGTTTTCACCAAAAAGAAAACTAACTAACTAAATGTCCCTGTTGTTTCGGTTCGCTGACGTGAAGCGGAGAAACGGACCGAGGGGGGGGGGAAACCTCGCTGAGTAAGTTCCACAGTGACAGCGGAAGGATGAAGTAACCGGCGTGTGTGTGTCTGTCGCCAGCTGCTCACCGGGACTTGGTGAATGGGAGGGTCCTGTCTGGGTGCCTCGCCGCCTGACTCGCTGAGGGCCTGGAGCAGAACAGGAGCTGCTCGCTTCCCGCCTGGACCGTCGACGGGAGCCAGGTGACCCCCCGGAGCGACGTCATGCCGCCGAAAGCCCACCGGGCCCCGCTCCTGCTCACCGTCACCTGCATGTGCTTCTCCGGAGCTCTGCTCTGGTCCTACCAGGACGAGGATGCCAGCGAAGGGTAACGCCGTCGTTAGTCGTTATCGTGGTCATTATCACGTTTGGACGTTTGATGGAATGCTGAACGTGCTTTGGAGAAAAAAATGTGCCTTTTTTTCTACAGTGAGAAGTGCTCTGAAAATAACATCTCCACCACAAAGTACCCATGCGTGAAGTCCACCGGAGAGGTTACGACGTGTTACAGGTACAGCACAGGGATTTCTTTTCTCTCTGTCTAAATTTCTTTTTTTGTGTGTTCATTTTTATGTCTAAAGGGGGAAAGTTTATCACCTCTGCCAAACTTCGAAGTTGCATCAGTGTTGTGTGGAAAAGGCTCATGATAAACTGGACCTGTTGGTTTGCAGTCATTCTGAGCACGGATAGGTCAGACTCTATCTGTATAGGCAGCCTGCATCCTTTTAATTGTATTTTTTGTAATTTGTAATTGTAATTATTTAGATGAATGATGCTGTGTTTACATGAATTGTGATATCTCCTTATTGATCCTTGCAAATGTTGAGTGGTGTGCATCATGGATGCAGGTTGCCTCACTTCAGAACTTCTGTGGAGGTTTGAGGATTAAGACGTTTGAAGCTATGATCTGCTGTCAGCTCACCAGTCTGCCAGAGGCATCATGAAATACATGCTGGAACTGCAGACTTTAACGAGCCAGAAGACTTAAAAAGTGAACCTTAATTGAAAAGCATCAAAAGTTGAACAGATTAAACAAGTCTGGGTGGCTGGAAACCCTCTTGGAAGTTGAATCTTTGAACTAAAACAGAAGCTGCTGCAGCTTCCCGACGCCTTGCAGTGATTTCTGATTCTGCACTCTTGAGAATGATTTGTTTGGTTTAGCTTTACACAGCCGATAAACTGTTCTACTAGGCGAGGCTTCATTTACAGGAACTCTGTTTCACTTTGGCGTTGTGTGTGTTGTGACTTTGAAAATCTCAATCATACTTATTTAGGGAACTTATTTAAACAGGTTGTCAGACGTTTTAATTTATGCTAAATCTTCCTCTCTACGTCCTCCTAAAGGGGGGGGGGGTGATATTGAGACATAAACAAATGACAGATTGTTGGAAATACTCTCTCAGAAGTTTTCCAAGTGCAGACTTTGAAAAGTTTTGTTTTTGCATTGCTTAACAACCCCCTGGCCATGGCTCAGTGACATCCTTTTTGATCTTCAAATCTCAAACACTCTCTTAACATAATGATGTTGGTTTATGGTTTCTGGCCGCAGCCACAGCCCCCCCCCCCCCCCCCCCTCCAAAAGAAAACCTCTGTTTATTTAAAGAAGAAAAACTGCTTTAGCTAAGAGACTAGATAATGCGTCCTGGGTGCATTTCAGTTCACCTGCACAGTGTAGTCTCCTCGGTGATGAGCTCCCAGCTTTGACTGGTCAGCAGAAGCACCAAACCTTTTGAAAGAAATGTCTTGACTTTGATTTAATGAATTTTGCCCCTGCATTTCTTTTTAAGACCGTACGCATTGCTATTTCGTCTTGGCATTGCTGACAAGTTCTACAAAGGGAACCAAGGGTAATTTAAGTTGGCAAGATTAAGCTGCCAAAGCAAAATATAGGCTTATGGCATTAATTAGGCGCTCGGGGGAATATCAGTGCACATCTAGGAAAATGTTTTTTAACTATAGTAAACAGATCTTCAAAACTTTGTCACAGCAACAATTTATGAAGAAGAAGCTGGTTAATGGGTGGTTTATTTTTCTTCTGTAAACATGGTGTTAGAAGTTCCTCAAAAAGATGGAGAGTTGGGAAACTGTCAGTATTAGCTTTTAGTGAAAATGTTTAAGGATTAGTGTTTAGTGCTTTGGTACATTTTTACCAGACAACAAAGTGAATATATTGTGTGTTTTGTATTGTGCATGTGTGCGCACTACGCATCTGTGTGCACAGCTCAACATTTGCTCTGGAAGTATTTATCACATTGTGAAGGGAACCAGAGGAGACACCAGAGACCCGGAGAACATTTGTCATTTGCCCATATATCTCTTGGTGCCAACAAAGGCACAGTCAGAGAATGTCATGTGTGGTTTCTTCTGTTTAAAGGCCAGTTGTACCACGACTCTGCATTTACAGGTTTCAGCATCCACCCCCCCCTTTATTTGCAGCCTTGCCGAGAATACAGTTTATGTGCTTGGCTCTTTACAGGATGTGGAAAAACTATGCACGGTTTCTGTTCCAAAACTTTTGCTTACATCACAAATGCCTGTGATTGCAACATAAAGCTGTGCTTAAACCAGAGACGTGTTTGATTCAAATGATAAGCTGTGTAGTCGTCCCACTTTGGCATTGGCTTCAGTGCTGAGGACTGCTTTGTTTTTTTTTGCATTGAGCTCAGGTTGTGGTATTCCCAGTATTACAGCTTATCTGTGAAAAAATTTTTATTCATTTTTTGGTCTGATGGTAATTGCTGGCTCTATCACTTTTCCTTGAGGGCCCCCCCGCCCCCCAGATCACGCTTTTGCTCCATTAACCTAACAGCTTATTTTATCTGCTGGCCGTGTGACAGAGCAGGATTGCTGATCTAGCAGTGCGAATTAGTAGAACTCAACACAAACTTTTCAGTTTTTCGGGCCATCCACAATTAGCTTAGTACTAATTAACTCGATAACCACTATTATATGTTGGGAGGGGGGGGAAACGCCTCATAGCATGTGCCAGAAAACAGCAAACCTTTGTGATTCATGATCTACTTCAGGCTGAATTACATGTCTGAAATTCCCTAGATGAGAGCCAGATCAGAGCCACAGTGTGTTAACCTTCATAGGAATGAGACACATTAATAATCTTTGTTTGTAACTTTTCTTCGGTGACACGAGGGTACATGAAACAGCCATTACGCGTGGCTTGATTTATTGTGTGTGCCATGTTGCCCTTACCTATCCTGGAAAGGAAATGCTTTTCTAGAGAAGAACCAGAACACTGGCAACATGAATCTCAAACTGCAGCTGTGACAGTTACATAGAATTGATGTGTGGAATTGTTTACTTGTTATGTTTCCAAGTATCTTGTTCCCTTCTTCACAGCATTCTTTACCTTCTGTGAGACGGGATGGTAATGACAATCTTTGTTCTCTGTCACAACTTGCATGTGTGTTTGTTGAAGCCCCCACCAAAAGGCCACGGATCATATACAGTTTACTTTTAGCCTCCTTTTTTTCCCTTTTTTTTTTTTCTTTTTCTATTGACATCATGTACTTTAAAAATTCATGAAAGGAGCTTAACAGATTTCCCATTTGCTGCAGAAACAGTAGGAGTTTTACATTTGAATTCCTTCCAGCATTCAAACAGACAACTTTTTTGCTCAGTTCCAGTGAAGTGATCTCGCCAGTCTGATTTTTCAACTTGGCTCTATGAAGACTACTTTTGTTTTCAAATCTGTTTTTCTCATTAGATTCAAATTTATTCCGCACCTCGGAGTAATCCTGTCAGACTTCTGTTCGTCGTCCCAATTCAAATAGCTTTCAGCACAAGAAATACGCATGGGGCTTCAGTGTTGCCATTTTGTCATCTCTCCAGTGGTCACAGCTCTACTAAAGATATACTGTGGCACATCCCAGGGAGTTTAGCAAACCCCACTCAGATTACATTTTCGTTGTCTTGAGCTGCTACATTTCTGATGCTTCCATAAATGTCCCGGACGGAGAGTTAGTAAGGGTCAGATTTATGGACACCAGGTGTGGTACCTTATGTTGGAAAAATGAACAGTTCATGCCAAGATTTTTATTTTGTACTTTTTTCAAGCAAACTTAACCAAGCTTCATCAACCCAGTCTGAGCAGAAAACATGCAACGTGCATCCTTAAAAATGCAATATTGTCACGTGTTGTACGGATGATCCACACACATTAAAATGTTTACTATGGCTCCATCATCCTGAAACAAAAAAATAAGCATCTCTGTAGGGAAATAAGTAGGAAAAATATACTCGCTGTACACAGTATTTGTTTGTGAGTCTTTTTGTAGGAGAGTGTTACGTTTTGCATTGGGGACCAGAAGTTCTTCCATAACTAGAAATCAGCTTGGCAGTGTGCAGAGTCTCCCTTTGTGAGCCAGTTATTTAAAAGTTTGAGTAAATTTTCAACAGTTTTAATGGGGAATCAAGGTGAGGTTGTGGTTGTTTCACTCGCATTGATAAAATAAAAAATAGTCATTACTTTTTCATTAATAATTTTGGGATGAAGAAAGCGGTTGGTTTGCTTCTTTTCTCAGGCTTATGTTCTTCATACTTCTTTTTTACGACTTGCAAGCATAATAATCAAATGCAAAAAGGAGAGTAAGGTTGAAAACCTGATTAGTGTATGTGAGGTTTGTTTCTACCCCCTGTCCCCTGAGTAGTGTAGCCCCACAGCCCCCTGCCTGTGCTGTTGTTCAACTGGATCCACTCAGGATTTCCTAAAACAAGAGCCCCGTTCAAAGTAGGCATAGCTTTACAAATAAAACATTTAACGTTTGGCTTAAAACGCCAGTTGTTTTCAGGAATGACAACAAAACAAACCGCTGCAGTGTTGTGTTAGAAAGGCAAGAATGCATCATGATAAAGTAAATAACTTGTCTGGGGAAAGAGCGTGAAATAAGTCCAAGATGTTTCTCAACAGCCCTGCGAGGGAAACGGGGTTTTACTGGAATTAACCTAATAGATGCAGAATGAGATAACAGCTTAGTACCATGCCAGTCAAAAATGATTTACAACACCTGTCGCACTCAGCTGTTCAAAAGAGTGGACGGAAGCTTCTGGTATGGTTTACATAACCACACTAACATGTTCCAAATGCAATAAACTCTAACCTTTTGCTGAGTGCTCAGAAAAGAGACACACTCATGGTCAGATATATCTAATAATCTCAAACCCCATCCGTGAGATGATGCATCGTTTCCTGTCCAGAAATGGACATCCACATCTGTTTTCCATCAATTCCATCAGAAGGAGGATATGAAGCTTGTTAACTGAAGTAGACTGAGGGTGTTCTGTGGATTCAAGGAGTTGCCATCAACATTTGGTTTTGCTCCTCATTGACAGCTCCCACACAGTTCAACATTAAAAGGATGTAAAGGCTGAGAAGCAGAGGTCAACTGCCATGTTAAGTGATCCTAGTCTTTCAGATTTAAGTCCTTCTGCGTTGCTGGAAGAGCTCATGAAGGCACTCAGTGAAATGGTGTCTGATTATTTTTTATTTCTATTTGT